TTAAGGAGGAAATGACATAGTTAAAGTAAAAGAATTCTGGTAACCAGAGAACAATGTCAACAATGCTATGGCATTTCCCAGGTGTGTAGGCCAGTGGTGCATAATGAGTTGAATGAGGTGAACTGCACATCTTCAGAGAAGGGAAGGCCCTTTAAGGTGATTGTAATCCTCCTCTGAATCACACCAGTAGAAAGCTCAATGTCTCACTGAAGCTGAATAAATAACAATTCACTAAAGATATGTCTCTAGGGTACCAAGCCTGAAAAGGTAAGAGTTAGCGTCCTAGGGTTTTCTGGTAAGTATGAGTCTGAGATAGAATTTGGAGGACTAGAACAAGACAAGGTTAGACAGAGACTACAACAAAGACAGAGCAAAGGTAGCAAATAAAGCCAGGCCTGGACCTGAATCATGGGTTAGCCTCTCTGTCCTCTACCAAGACCACTAGCCCACAGCATTATTGGCCTCCCTTAAATGTTAACATCCAAGAGAAGTCTAGTCTCCACTGGTGACTTTCAGGCCATATGAAGAAATAGGCCTTATTTACGTGCTCTATACCTTATCAACTGGAAAATCCCTTGGGTTTTAGTCAGTTCCAGGCTGTTATAACAAATTACCATAGACTCAGTGCTTAAACAACAAACATTTATTTTTCATGGTTCTGGACACTGGAAGTCCAAGATCAGGGTGCCAAGATGGTCAGGTTCTTGGTGAGAGAATCTCTTCCTGGTTATGTTCTCACAAGGTCTTTCTTGGTGCTTGTACGCAGAGAGAATGAGACCCCATGTCTCTTCCTCTTTTTATAAGGGCATTAGTCCCATTATAAGGGCCCCACTCTGATGACCTAATCTAACCCTAATTACTTCCCAACGGCCCCACCTCCAAATACCATCACATTGAGGGGTAGGGTTTCGGCATATGAATTTTAGGACACAAACATTCAGTACATAGCTGTTGCACATAAAGATCAAGTTTCTGACATCTCCAGCAAAGTGTAAAATAACAATGAAATCGCCTAAAATTGCATTTCTCAGAACATATCCCTACAGTCAAGTGACACATGTCTTTATTGAAGGAAGACCAGAAAGATTGCCAATTAACCACCTATGAAAGTCATCAAAGAACTATGTGTGAGTGACAAAAAACAATCAGGTTCAAAAGAGTAGTTAAATGTTCTGTAATTTTACTCTAACAGCCCTATTTGAGAGGGTGAAAGAATGTCAAGAGAAAGGCCATGAATTCCAAGGATACATCTTAGGATGCAAAATTTTCCAAAGTTTCTTGAGTGGTGTCAGCTATTACCCTTGTGGACGTGAAATAGCTGTTAGGCTTTTTGTGTGGGTTGCCCAGGATGACCATTGTGACTCCGTGGCCTCTGGGTAAATCCAAATTAAACTGAGCTCTAGGGCTGAAGAGAAGAGGCTAGAATGCAACAACATCACTTTGGAAATCCATAGTCATTTGCTCAGTTTTCCATGTTCTTATATGCTCTTAGCCTGGCCTTTTTGTTTTCACAAGTTGTTTTATTGTTTTATTTTGCAGAATTATCCTTTCTTCAAAAAAGAACCCAATAATTAAACAAGTGTTACAAACAAGGCCCAGAGGATGTAACATTTAGGAGCAGAGTTAAGACTAGAAGTTCTCCCTCTTAAATTCCAGAACTCAGTGAACAAAATTCTCTTTTATTCTCTCAGTATTTACAATGCAAAAATAAAAGTCCAAAAACTTGCTGAGGATAAAATGTTTCCACAAACTATATAAAATCTATAAAATACAACAAAAAGCTGAAAAGAGTTTCAAATGAGGTTGTGAGAAGTTTGCTTCAAGTTTAATACCTTTTTCCTTTTAAATAACAAGTTAGAATACCTCTACAATTACAAAATTAAGCCTCTGATACTACACGCACACACTCAAAGAATGAACAAACCTCAAAAATAACATTTTATTTTGGTAAAATAAGCAAATACATTGGCAACCTTGTTAGATAATAATGTCAATCTAACATTTTACTTAGTAAATATTTGTAGAAAATCTGTAAATAGTGTATTTTTCAAAAAGCTAAAGAGTCCAGGCAAAACAGATGATATTATATATTCTATGATTCCACTTATATGAAATTGTAAAAATGTAGAAGTAATGACAGAAAACAAATCATTATTTGTCGAGGGCACTGGGTGGCAGGCGGGGGTTGACTGCAAAGGGACACAGGAGTTTTGGGGATGAAGGAAATGTTTTATCTACATCATGATTATAGTAGTAGATGGACAACTGTATGTATGTTTTCAAAACTCACTGAACTTCTATAAGGAAAATAGGAGAAAATTATTAAGTGAAAATTATACCTTGAAATTTTAAAAGAGATTATATATAATAAACCAGCATACTTTTCAAATAATCATTTCAGTGAAAATATTTTACTTAATAAACAAATATTTATTTGTAGAAAATCTATAAATAATATACTTTTTTCACAATCATAAGCAGTGTTTACTTTCTGACATTTTTATAAGAAATTTTTCATTTTTTTTCTAGAAAAAGAAGCAAACTAAGAAGTACTTAAAAAGTGACCTTGAACACAATTTAAAACCCTTCAATAATGTTTCCTAAACTCAGTATGAACTTGGCAGGTCTCTGAATGCTTTTCCCAGAATGTAACAACATAATAAAGGTTGTATATTTGGGTTGTACAGGGGCCAAATAGACAATATAAGTGAGTGCCATGGAGCAAGTGGTACTGTCACAAACTGGAATACATGGATCTTCCCAAAAGAGCTGCCACCACTGAGTCCTACAGATTGACGGCAGGAAAGAACACATGCCTCAGTGTAGCCAGAGCATCTTAACTTTAAAGAGAAGTAGGAATCTGGATTTCTATGTGAAATTTTCTGAATTTTTTTAGAATGATAGTTCAATTTTTTATTTTTTTTTTAATAACATGTGTGGGCCAAATAAAATATATCCATAGGCAGACCTCGGGTCCACAGTACATGCTTTGTGACTTTTTTAATTACAAAGTCTTGCCATCTTTCTAACCTAATGGCTTACATCTTTATTTGTAGTGAGTCTAGAGTAATGTGGAATATTAGTGCAGCTGAAGTAAAATTTATCTCAAAATTACATGAAGGCTAGTCATTTCTGGCTATTTTGCTGAAAAACCAAGTCCTGTTTACATTTCCAAGCACTCTGGTTGGTAATAAAAGAAAAAATCAGTTAGAATGAAGAAAGGATAAGGAGAAACTGAAGAAAAATCACAACTTTGAGATCAAAGTCAGCTTCTAGAGTCTAGAACAATAAAGTAATCCATGTGTTGAAATTTGAGAACTTCATTGCCCCAACTAGTCCAACCTGGCTGTAAATTTCGTGCAAACAATTCCAAATATTGCCCTTCTGGCTTGACATAGTCTTTTAAAACCTCTGTTCAAAAAAGAGAAAAACACAACAATTATTATTAAGAAATCAATATCCTTTTAGCAGTTAAGAATAGAAAAGCGAAGTTTCCTTAAAAAAAAAAAAACGACAGCAAATTAACTTCAAGGATTTCATCATAGGCTTTACTATTCATAGATAGAAAAGTTATTTGAAATAAGCTCCCTTGAGATTGGGAACAATACCATTTGAACTTTCAGTAGTCCTGATTTATTGGTTTTCATTTGTAAATGAGAAATGAGGATTTTAACACCCACACAGGTGAATTTTCAGTTTTCCAATACTGCTGACACATCTCCTGAGTACTAACTCAATCTATTTTTTAATAAATATAATCCATGCATGAAAAAGCTA